TTTATATTTATATTTATATTTATATTTATATTTATATTTATATTTATATTTATATTTATATTTATATTTATATTTATATTTATACTTGTACTTATAGCCATAGGGAGAAGTCTATGCCTGCGCGTTTGCATTATCCACAAAGGTGTACATATTTGTAATAATGCATCTAAGTTACATTTTTATATTTTGCCTTTTTGTTTTTAAAACAACAAAGAGATTCAAAATAAATTTCGTTTTATCTTTTTGTCTTTTGTCTTTTGTTTCTTTCTCTCTCGCCTTTCGTTCTTTGCCTCTTTTTGTCAATTCGTTTCTAAAAAGAAATAAAAGAATTCAGCGAAGCTGGACGGGCACAAATACTTTATTTGATTTTAAATTCGCTTTTGTTGGCTGCTGTTTTTAATTAATTCGCATTCTTTGGCTGTCTTTACACCCGAGAATATCGCGTCAATTGTTTTATTTCCTTTTCAGTTTCTTTATTTCTTGATGTTTCTTTTTGCCTTTTTGCTGCTGCAAACTGGCAGCACAGTGGGGAAGCCCCCACGGCTGCTTTTAAAGTTGTAAAATAATTTTAAATGAAAAAATAATAAAAAGGAGCTTTCAACTTGAGGTGGAGATACACCCGAAACAAACCGCGAAGACCTGTTTGCAGCGGCCGACGCCGCTGGGCGGTCGGGGATTCTCAGCGGCGGTGGAAAGGGTGGATAAAATCGGCGCTGCTGCTCCTCGTGGCCGTTTAAACAATAAAACAAAATAAAATAAAGTTTAAAAAGTTAAAAAAAACAAAATTTGACGGAAGAAACGGACAGGCAGGAGGCGAAACCTCTCGAGCTCAGCTGTACGTACAGCTGGTGCTCACCGCCCCCAGTCGCCGCCGCGCCGCCGCATGTGAATTTGGCGGTCAAAATGGACCGAAAATAGGTAGGTTTGGGTTATTTCCCTCGCGTTATTTGATTTCACTTCAAATTTAACTCCAAATTGCCTGGATCTCTCCAGATCCTCCGCGGATGCTCTCCGGTTTCTTCTTCGAACAGCCACTCCGTCGCGAGTTCCGTTCCCGCGATCCGCCGTCGACTGCGCGCCACCGCCGATCTTCCTCTTTTCCAATTCGACTAAAAAGAGCTCTTTTCGTTTTATTACCTGTTGGGAAAATACTGGAGGAAAAGCGCGTCGTTTCCGCGGAAAGAGAAGGAGTTGGTGCCGGCGGCGGCGGTGTGCAATCGACGCGTTTCCGGTGGAATCTCGGGTCAATTTGTTCATTTTTTTCGCTTTTTTCCCCTTTTTTATCTTTAAATTGTTAATTCTTCCTTTATTCCTTTCAGTTTCGCGTTTTCAGGTCCGGTTTCCGGGCCGCTGGCGAGCCGCAGGCGACGGAGGGCGCAGGCGGATGGAGCCCAGCGCCGAGGCGGCAGCAGCTCCTTTGGGCTGCCTCTGAGTCGAAGACTTTTCCCCCCAGCATTTCCCCAGCCATTTCCTCCTTGTCTCTTCCCGATGGCGGCCCCGGCCGCAGCAGCCCGCTGCAGCAGCAGCAGCAGCAGCAGCAGCAGCAGCAGCAGCAGCAGCAGCAGCAGCAGCAGCAGGAGCCGGCGCAGGAGCCGCAGGCGCAGCAGGTCGCGTCCCGCGCGCGCCCCCGCCGGCAGCAGCAGGCGGCGGCTGGGCCGGCTGTGCGTGCTGGGGATCTGCGCCGCGCTCTGCTGCTGCTGCAGCAGCAGCAGCAGCAGCAGCAGCAGCTGGTGGGCTGCGTGGGCGCTGCGCACGGCGGAAACCCCCAACTCCCTGAGCAGCAGCAGCAGCAGCAGCAGCAGCAGCAGCAGCAGCAGCAGCAGCACGGGCTTGTACTTGACGGACGCAGAAGTGGAGAGCGCAGGAGCAGCACAGCTGGGCTTCCGCGAAGACAGCAGCTGCCTGCTGGGGACTGCAGCGCCAGCCAACCTTGCTGCAGCGCAGCAGCAGCAGCAAGTGTCTCCTTTTTTGTGGGGTTTTCACAAAGAAGACGAAGTCTTTATGAACTCCGAGCTGCAGGCCCATCAAACAAAAGGCCCGGAGCAGCCGGGGAGAGAAAGCCAAAGTTTTTTGTCTTTTAGAATTCCGGAGGAGACTTTCGAGAATGGAAAGGCTTTGCTGCGGCTCTACCTGCTGCCCCCCGACAGCAGCAGCAGCAGCAGCAGCAGCAGCAGCAGCAGCGGCACCTGCAGCAACCCCACGCTCGCAGTCACCCGCATGCTCGACGACAGCTACCGCACCGCCCGGGACGACTCGCGGGCCAGCACGGAGCAGGTGCAGCAGCAGGTGCAGCAGCAGCAGCAGCAGCAGCAGCAGCAGCAGCAGCAGCAAGCAGCAGCAAACCAGTACGAGGAAATCGACATTTCCTCGCTCTTCTACGGAAAGGGCCTCAAGGGGGGGCCCCTCCACCTGCGGATTCGGCAGCAAAGTCAGCACTGCAGCACAGACTTCGCCCCCCCCGGCAGCAGCAACCCGCCGCTGCTGCTGCTGCAGGTGCTGTCTGCTGCTGCTGCTGATGCTGCTTACGACAGCTGGGGCCCTTTTGCTGCATGCAGGGCCTCCTGCAGCTCCCCACAAAACCACCAGTGCCGCAAGAGGGCCTGTTTGCCGGGAGTGGGGCTTGGGGCTGCATGCGACCCGCAGCAGATGCTGCAGATCATTCCCTGTTCTGCTGCTGCTGCTGCTGCTGCTGCTGCTGCATGCAGCTGCACGCAGCTGCAGGCCGAGGGCCTCTGCCCCCTCAACGCCGAGTGTACAGACACTGCGCAAGGCGCCGTCTGCTCCTGCCCCGGCACTTTCCGCAGGGAAAGCTTCGGCACTGAAACCATTTGCGACCTCGGTAGCCTTTGCTGCTGCTGCTGCTGCTGCTGCTGCTGCTGCTGCTGCTGCTGCTGATGGTGGTGGTGCTGCTGCTGGTGGTGGTGGTGCTGCTGGTGGTGGTTGGATGGGGCGGCTGGTTGGGCGGGTTGCGCTGCTGCTGCTGCTTCCGGTGATGCGGATGCTGCTGGCTATGGCGATGCTGCTGCTGCTGCTGCTGCTGCTGCTGCTGCTGCTGATTAGGATGTTGCTGCTGCTGATGATGCTGCAGCTGATGATGCTGCTGATGATGGCGCTTGGGCGGGCGCTGGCGCGCCTTTGCTGCTGCCGCTGCTCATGCTGCTGCGTGTGCTGCTGCTGCTGCGTGTGCTGCTGCTGCTGCTGCTGCTGCTGCTGCTGCAGAAATGGTGAATGGAACGAACAGCACAACGACATACACGTCTTGGAGCACTGCAGCAACAGAAGCAGCAGAAGCAGCAGGCAGCAACAACAACAAACTTTGGATTATTATTGGCTGCGTCGGCGGCGTGGTGCTGCTGGCCTGTGCCGTCTTTATAGGTCAGCAGCAGCAGCAGCAGCAGCAGCAGCAGCAGCAGCAGCAGCAGCAGCAGCAGCAGCAGCAGCAGCAGCAGACTTCTCCATTTTCTTCTCTCTCTTTTTCCCAATTTTTTGCTACTTTTTGCTGCTGCTACTTGCTGCTGCTCCGTGTTGCTGCTGCCCCTTGTTGATGCTGCTCCTTTTGCTGCTGCTGCTTTTGCTGCTGCTCCTGTTGCTGCTGCTCCTTTTGCTGCTGCTCTTTTTTGCTGCTGCTGCCTTCTGCTGCTGCTCTTTCTACAGTGAAGGGTTTTTTGCAAAGAAGTGGTCTCTTTTTGTCTCTTTTTTTGTTTTCTTTAAATCTTTTTTATTTTTCGTTTTTTGTTTTTCTTTTTTCTTTTTGTCTCCTCCAATATTTCTTGAATTGTCTTTCTTTGCTTTTGCTGTTGTGGCTTTTCGGGAGAGCTGGTGGATTTGCCCTTCATCCTTTGAAGGGTTTAGGGTTTAGGGTTTAGGGTTTAGGGTTTAGGGTTTAGGGTTTAGGGCGTCGCTTGCTTCTTTTAATATGCAAACGTGCACATGTCCAGACATGCCTGCATGCATTCAAATAAATGACCGGCTGAAATAACAAGTTGCTAGGGTTTAGGGTTTAGGGTTTAGGGTTTTGTTTTTTGTGGCCTCAGTGATGCAGCCAAAGGGGCCCCCCCGCAGGGGCCCCATGCCCCCCGAAATGGCGGGGGCCCCCCAGGACTTTGGGGGCCCCTATTGGCAGGGGGGCCCCCAGGGTATGTCCATGGGGTACCCTGCGGGGGCAGGGGGCCTCGGGGGGAGGCCCCTGGGGCCCCCCCGGGGCTTCTAGGGGAGAAGAGCCGCAGCAGCAGCAGCAGCAGCAGCAGCAGCTGCTGCTGCTGCTGCTGCTGCAGCAGCAAGGCAGCAAGGGGCCCGCACAAAAGATACAGATCGCCGGCCACCAGAAGACCCATGGGGATATTCAAAAGACCTCAGGGGGGCCCCACAAAAGGCCTTTAGGGGGCCCCGAAAAAGGCCACTAGGGGGCCCTTTGGAGGGCTTTAAGGGGGGGCCCCTAGGGCCCCTAAGGGGGCCCTAGGGCCCTCTAGGGGGCCCCCAAAGACCCTGGAAAGCCTCGCAGGGGTAGGGTATGGGGGGGCCCCTTGGGGCCCCCCAAAACCCTGAGAGCTGCAGGGGCCCCCCTCGGGTGGGGCCTCCCCTGGGGGGCCCCTGCAAAGCAAATGCATGCAAAGAGGGTTTGGGTCTTTGCAGGGGGCCCTTTAGTTTCTCCCTCAAGTCTCTTTTGTCTCTTTGTATCCCTGGGGCCCCCTGCAGCCCCGGGGGCCCCACATGCAGCAGCAGCAGGGGGTCCATGAGCAGCAGCAGCACCAGCAGCAGGGGGCCCCATGAGCAGCAGCAGCAGCAGCAGCAGGGGGCCCCATGAGCAGCAGCAGCAGCAGCGGGGGGCCCCACTCGCAACAGCAGCAGGGGCAGGGGGCTCCCACAAGCAGCAGCAGCAGCAGGGGCCCGACAAGCACCAGCAGCAGCAGCAGGGGCCCCCACAAGCAGCGGCAACAGCAGCAGCAGCAGGGGCCCCCACAAGCAGCAGCAGCAGCAGCAGCAGCAGCAGGGGCCCCCACAAGCAGCAGCAGCAGCAGCAGCAGCAGGAGGGGCCCCAGGCAGCCGCAGACAGTACAGACGGCGCATGCAAACGGACTAGGGAAGAGAAAAGCATTTTAATGAAAAGAGGAATTTAAATGAAAAATAAAATAAAATGGCATTAATAAAATATAATTTCTGAAGACAAAAAGGGAATTTAAATGAAAAATTTATAAATAAAATGGCATTAATAAAATACAATTTCTCAAGAAAAAAGTAAAAATGCAAAATGGCAAAAAGAAATGCCAACTTCTGCTGCTTTTTAGTCCTTTTGGTCTTTTCGACTTTTTGCAACTAAAAGTGCATTTAAAAAGTTCCAAAAACTCCGCAATTAAACTCTAAGAAGTGCCAATTCTCTAAATAGAATTTATTTTGCAAAAAGAGACAAAAAGAAACAAAAAGAAACAAAAAAAAACAAAAAACAAAGACAAAAGGGAGACACTTTACACGACAGTCTCCTCTCCGTAAACAAAGAGGCCCCACACTCTGTAAATACAGTGCAGGGGGGCCCCCAGAGGACTCCCAGAGGGGCCCCAGAAGGGCTCAAAGGGGCCCCAAAGGGGCCTAATGAACCTACAGAACCCAAACTGAGCCCTCAGGGGCCCCCCAGAGGCCCCCAAAAGCCCGCAGGGGCCCCTGGGGGCCCCTAGGGGCCCCAAAAATCCCACCTTGGGGCCCCCAATGGCTCTTGCTCTCAACAATGCACACAGGCCAGAAGGGGCTACGAATGGGCCCCAAAAGGGGCCAAAAAGGGTACCAAAGGGCGCCCCAGGGGCCCCCAGGGGCCCCCTGCTGGGCGGTATTTCGCTGGGGATTGGTTCCTAAATAGCAAAGTATAAAGAGAAGAAGGAGACAAAATGAGGAAATGAAAAACAAACATCGAGGCTCAACTGGGCCTCCAAGACCCTCTTTACACGAATTAAACCTGTGGAAAAAGGGCCCCCAGAGAGACCCTAAGACCCCCCAACTCAGCTGTGGGCCCCCTCGTGGCTCAGGGGCCCCTGAATGACTGAGTGCCAATGCGGGGGCCCTAAAACTGGGAAGAAGCTCCTGGAGGGGGGCCCCTGGGGGCCCCTTAATCAAGGGGCCCCCAGGAGCTCCTTAATTGCTGTATGTGGGTGTCCCTTGGCAGCGTGGGTTACTGGGGGCCCCCCATCGAGTCCCTGCCGTGGGGCCCCCGGGGGGCCCCCAAAAGGGTACTAGGGGGCCCCCCAGGGGCCCCACACCCCCGCACTGCTGCTGCACTCAAGGCCTCCTAAAGGCAGCAGCGCCTGGCCCTTGCTGGGGGGCCCCCTGGAGGGGCATGGCCCTTCCCCCGGCAGCAGTGGGGTAGGGGCCCTGGGGTGCCATGGGGGCCCCCATCTGGGGGGCCCCCATCTGGGGGGCCCCCATCTGCGGGGCCCCCATCTGGGGTACACCCATCTGGGGGGCCCCCATCTGCGGGGCCCCCATCTGGGGGGCCCCCAAGGGGGCCCCTCCCCTGGGCCCCATCGGGAGGGGCCCCCCAGGCAGCGACGGGGAGGGGCCCCAGTACATGTTAGGACTTGGGGGGCCCCCAATGTCCCCTGTTTGAGGGTTTATAGTGGCATTAAGAAGATCTTCTTCTCTTTGGGGTTTTTCCTTGACGCCTACAGACACAAATCAAACCCCCCGCCAAACCCTAAACCCTAAACCCTAAACCCTAAACCCTAAACCCTAGGTAACAGACGCCGAGCGAGCAAAGCGCCCATGCAGCAGGAGACGGAATGCCAACATCAACCCCAAACCCTAAACCCTAAACCCTAAACCCTCGATCGAACAACACAGAGCTCCACCTGGCCCCACGCTCCAGGACCGAGGTTTTAGGGTTTAGGGTTTAGGGTTTAGGGTTTAGACGCACAAAGGAGGATAATGCAGCCAATGACAGCGACGGAGCCAAAAACCCCCAAAATGATCCACAAGATTAAAAGAGAAGTCGAAGTGGAATCCTCAAGAACTGAAGAAGCCGTGGAGCTCATGGAGGTGCTTCCTGCAGCAAACACGCCAATTTAGGGTTTAGGGTTTAGGGTTTAGGGTTTGGGGTTTCGAAGTGGTCGCAAGCACACTCGAGGCCAGTGCATTCGAAAACTCAGCAGCAAACTGCTGAAGTGCCTATACACTGCTGAGGTGTCTGTACAGCACTGAGGTGTCTGTGCAGCTCTGAGGTGTCTGTACACTGCTGCAGTGTCTCTACAGCATTGAGGTGTCTGTACAGTGCTGGGGTGTCTGTACACTGCTGGGGTGTCTGTACAGTGCTGGGGTGTCTGTACACTGCTGGGGTGTCTGTACACTGCAGCAGCGCCTAAACACTGCTGGGGTGTCTGTACACTGCAGCAGCGTCTATACACTGCTGGGGTGTCTGTGCAGTGCTGGGGTGTCTGTACACTGCAGCAGCGTCTGTGCAGCGCTGGGGTGTCTGTACAGCAGGTCACCGAGTTCGCAGAAGGTTTTGTCGGAGGCGGAGAGTCTTTTGAATTCTCCGTTGCATTTGCAAGAAACGTTATTTGGGACTGAGTCATCGCATGCAGCATTGGCGGGGCAAGCAGCAGCAGCAGCAAAGTCCCGGCAAGTGCATGCAGCAGCAACTGTGGGGTCTGCGCAGGGCTGTTTGTCCACCATTTTCTCGGGTGTACATACAGCGCCCCCGTTCCAGCCCGCGCTGCAGCCCCTTTTTCTGCATGCGAAGTTCTTCGCAGAAACACAAGAAAGTCTACAAGTCCCGAAGGGCCCCCACTCCCCATAAACAGCATCTTTGTCTTCGCTGGCCACTGTTTCCACCCGCAGCAGCGGCTGCTGCTGCTGCTGCTGCTGCTGCTGCTGCTGCTGCTGCTGCTGCGGCTGCTGCTGCTGCGGCTGCGGGGGCTCGAAGGCGGAGAGGCAGCCCTGGTGGGCCTCGCGCAGCAGCAAGTGGAGGGGGGCCCCCTCGAGGCCCCGGCCGTAGACGAGGGGCCCCACGTCGAGCTCGTAAAGACCCAGGGGGGCCCCCAGGGGGGCCTCCACGAGGGCCCCCGTCTCGCTGCTGCTGTTGCGGCCCTGCAGGTACTTGTCGTCCCGCAGCAGCAGCACCTGCAGCAAGTGGCTGCTGCAGCGCCAGCCGTGTGCTGCTCCGTCCCAGTTTTTGAACAGCAGCAGCGCAGCAGCGCCGCTGCTGGCCAGGTTTGCTGGCAGCTTGAAGCTCAGCATGAACTCGCGCTCTCGCCCCGCGCTGCTGCTGCTGCTGCTGCTGCTGCTGCTGCTGCTGCTCTCCGTCTGGTAGGCCTTCAGGCTTTGCTGCACTGCAACAGAGTCCCCCACGTGTTCGGCCCACTGGTAAGGCAGCAGCTCTTCGCTGCTGCGCGGCTGCTGCTGGTTCGCGGGCACTTCTGCTGCTGCTACTACGCAGCTTTCATCTTCCTCCAGGTTCAGGGGCGGGCTCTCCTGCTGCTGCTGCTGCTGCTGCTGCTGCTGCTGCTGCTGCAGCAGCGAGGAGCCGCCGGGGCCCGCCTGCAGCGGCGACGGGCCCCGCAGCGGGCCCAGGTTCAGCGACGACGCCGCAGGCAGCAGCAGCAGCAGCAGCAGCAGCAGCAACGGCAGCAGCAGCAGCAACTGCTGCCACACGCGCCGCCCCCACATCCGCAAAGGGCACTGCCCCCCACCCAAAACCCAGCCAACGACTCCTGGCGAACACCGCGAAACCTCCTGCTGCTGCTGCTGCTGCTGCTGCTGCTGGGAAACTGACTTTGGCTCTCCTGCTGCTGCTGCTGCTGCTGCTGCTGCTGTGCTGCCGGACAAAGGAGGATGCCGCGAACGGGGCGAAGGGGAAAGAGGCGAGCTGAAGAAGCTGCTGCTGGGAGGGTGGCAGCAAAGGCCGCCCTCTAGCAAACGCGCCGTCATCCTGCTGCTGCTGCTGCTGCTGCCGCCGCTGCTGCTGCTGCTGCTGCTGCTCCTGCTGCTGACGGCATGGAGAGATCCGGCTGAGACAGAGACAGGAAAGGAACGGAAGCTGACCAAGACAGAACTGCTGCTGAAGGATCGAGCGCCTCGGGAAGAAGAAGGGAAAGAAGAAGTGAAAAGAGAATCGGGCGTGGACAAAGACCTAAATCGCAGCTGCTGCTGCTGCTGCTGCTGCTGCTGCTGAACTGCGTGGAGAAAGCTTCCGACTCGAGACGGAACTGCCGGGGCAAAGAAAAAGGCTGCAGAGGGAGGCGAGAGTTGGAACGGAAGAAAGGTGAATTCAAGGAGCCGGAGAGCGGCGGGCAGCGTCAGCGAGCGACGGGGTGACAGCCTTTGAGAGCTTTTTCTTTCAAAAAACAAAAGGAATTGTTCTGCAGAATTCTCTGTTTCTTTTTTAAACCGCATGCAAACTTGGGATTTGCAGATCGCGCCGCGCGTGTCTCAGGTGTACCTGCAGCTTTCTCAGCCGCCAGTGCAGTCCGACCACTGGCGCCGCGAGGCCGATCCTGCCTCAAAATGGAGCTTTTTTTCCCGCTGTCTTCTTGAACTAACTAAAATATAATGCCATTGGCGTGGCAAAACACGAAAAGCTGAAAGATCGCGTCGAAAACGCCCAATTTTTGCGGTTTTCCCCGCCGTTCAGGTTTCCGTTTCTGATCGCCGCGCCAGACGCAACGGCTAGCTGAGCCATCGACACTCTCTTCGCCCGCCAGGTCCTCTTTCTTCGGCTCAATCGCAAGTAATTGAAAAAGACTTTTAAATGCATTCTCATTTAAAAAAGAAACACACATTAAGACGGCAAAAGCCGCGAATTCCGCTCAGGTTTCGGCGCAAGCGCCACTCGATCCGGGGGAAGGACCACTTAGCGGAAACGCCCCACCACCGCGCTTGCACTTCAGGTTTGCCAATTAGACAATAATGCCATTTAAATTCTGTTTTAAGACATTACATGCAGCAGCAAAAGGAGCGCCTATAGCCCACCCGCACACCGCGGCAGCGCCCCGACATTTTACTGGGGGGGCCCCCCTCCCTGCTACAGCCCGGAGCATACACCCTAAACCCTAAACCCTAAACCCTAGGAGACCAACGCGCCGCTGAAAGCAGCAGCCAAAGCTACCCATATCTAATGCCCCGCCCCACATCCCGTGAACATGCCCGCTGCTGCTGCTGCAGCTGCTGCAGCAGCAGCTGCTGCAGCTGCAGGAGCAGCTGCTGCTGGCGAGGTCCCAAGGCCCTGCAGCCTCTAGCCGCGTGGCGGGCCGACTGGACCAATGGTCACAGTGGCTGCGGACCACTGGCCACTAGGAGCTAATCTGGTGCAAACCGCCTAACTATAAAGCAGCAGCAGCAGCAGCAGCAGCAGCAGCAGCAGCAGCAGCAGCAGCAGCAGCAGCAGCAGCAGCGGTCTCGCTGGACGCATTTAGTTGAAATATAAAATGGAAAAGACAGCCGAATTGGCCGTTCGAACTTCGTCGTCTGGCGGCGAAAGGCGCCAGAGAAATCCCTCGTCCGTTTCTATCAGCTGACAGCAGCAGCAGCAGCAGCAGGCCTTGCTGCTGCTGCTGCTGCCGTCGCTGCTGCTGCTGCTGCTGCTGCTCAGGTCATGGTGCCCCGTTCGTTGATAAGGGCGGCAGTTTGGGAGTGTCTGGCGGCGGCGTTAGGGTTTTTGCGGTTTGCTGCTGCTGCTGCGCCAGTTGCTGCTGCTGCTGCTGCTGCTGGGGGCGCAGCAGCAGCAGCAGCAGCAGCAGCAGAAGCACCCCGCCAAGGCCCGAAGGACTTGGTGGGGTTGCTGTTGAGCCGCAGCGAAGGCCGCGAAGACTGCTGCTGCTGCAGCAGCGCAGCAGCAGAAACAAATGAACCACTGGACTCTGTTTCTTCTTCTCCTTTGCTGCTGCCGTACAGCACCAGAGCCACTTCCTCCAAATACATTATGTACGGCAGCACATACTTGCAAAACAGCCGCCGCCGGTTCACTTCGAAGGTCCTAAACCACAAACCCTAAACCCTAAACCCTAAACCCTAAACCCTACTCCCTCACCAGGCTGCACCACCTCACCAAACCCAAACCCTAAACCCTAAACGGCCCAAACCCCAAACCCTAAACCCTAAACCCTAAACCCTAAACAGCCCCCCTAAACCCTAAACAGCCCCCCTAAACCCTAAAGAGCCCCCCTAAACCCTAAAGAGCCCCCGTAAACCCTAAACCCTAAACCCTCACCGGGTGTAGAAGGCCCTGGAAGTGAAGGCGATGAAGAGAAAGGCGACGAGCATGGTGACGAAGGCAGCAACAGTGCGCTGCTGCGGCAGCAGCAAAAAGAAAAAAGACAGCAGCAAAGTGCAGAAGCAAAGGAGACACGCAGCCACGTAAGTGGGGTCTCTGAAGACCAGCAAAATGGTCATCTGCAGCAAAGCAGCAAACAGGGGGGCCCCCAACTTCGCAGCCAAAAAGGGGCCCACGGGGGCCCCCTCCGGCACCAGCAGCAGGTGCAAAGCCTGGTCAAACAGCGGAAACACCAGTCTGCACACAAACAAATGCAAATGCAACAATCTCTAAACCCTAAACCCTAAACCCTAAACCCTAAAACCTTCCAACCCGACCTTCCAACCCTAAACCCTAAACCCTAGGACCTTCCAACCCTAAACCCTAAACCCTAGGACCTTCCAACCCTAAACCCTAAACCGTAGGAGCTTGCAACCCTAAACCCTAAACCCTAGGAGCTTGCAACCCCAAACCCTAAACCCTAAACCCTAGACTTTAAACCCTAAACCCTAGCGGACTGGAGCGCGGAGACGAGGAGGACGAGTCTGTTGAGGAGGAAGCCGTCTCCCGCGGCGAAGCGGGAGGCGTCGAAGAAAGAAGAAAGTCTTTTTTTGCCGAAGAGCCGCGGGGCAAAGACCGGCAGCAGCAGCAGCAAAGACAGCAGCGGCTGCAGCAGCAAACGCCCCCCTATCAGCGCCAAAGACCCCACCAACCCCAAACGCGACTCCTGACACAACACAAGCAGCAACAAACAGCAGCAGCAGCAGCAGCAGCAGCAGCAATAAACAGCAGCAGCAAAAGCAGCAGCAAAACAGCAGCAGCAGCAGCAAAAACAGCAGCAAAACAGCAGCAAAAACAGCAGCAAAACAGCAGCAAAAACAGCAGCAACCCCCCCCCACCTCCCCCACCAACCCCTGGTG